AAAAAAAAAAAAAAGCATCACACTTAAACTTTTATTGGCACATTCACATCCTTGAGGTCCAATTTTCTCCAAAAAGTCCCTTCACTGCACTTCTTTTTTTTTTTTTTCTCACTGTTATCACGCGTGAATGAGGGCACCTTCAGAGTGGTTGCCTATTACGACACTTGTTCAAGCATTTAAGAGAATGCTCAGCAAACCCTTTAAAATCACTTAACCTCAAGGTATTAGAAGCCTCACTGATTCTCGTCATCAAGGTGTCCTTTTCCAGGAACCCGTTACGTTTTACTTTACTCTTTACAACTGACCAGAATTGCTCGATTGGGTTGAGCTCAGAAGAATGGGACGGTAAACAAGTGCAGCGGTATCCGCGCGATTCTACGTATCTGGCTATGTCCTCTGATGTATGGATAGGAGCATTATCCATTACGAGGTAATGGTCTTTCATATGCGAATACTGGTCCATTTTATCCACTGTGGCTTTTAGAAAGCTCACGTAATGTCCCGTAACCGTTCCTTTGCTCACATATCCAGCATCATCTCCTCGCTTTCTCTTTTTACTGGATGAATGCTGAGGAAATCTAAGGCTGCATTTAATTAGACCTTCAGCAGAGATCACGCCTAAAATTGTGGTTGTTGTTGCTCGAGTTTTGAGAACTGTGACCACTTCCGGTGTACCCTTCTTTGACCATGCCATACTACGTTTCAAATTAATATGGAAAGTAAATTCATCAAGGGAGATACAACTTCTCGTAAAATCCATGTCTATTTTTTCCCACTTACGAATCCAGTCCAAGTGCTCTTGAATCTTTTCTTCGTTGTTCCAATCTATAGGTTCTGCCAATCAGATACTCATGAGATTAGGAAAGGACCATTTTCATGGAAACAAAAAAGAGTCGAGCAGTTTTTTTCTTCTTTCAAATATTTCATTCATTTTTCACAACTATGCTTATCGCAACAACTTTTTCTTGATAGCTTGTTCATGTGAGCATTGATGATATTCTTTACATCTTGGTAATTGATTAAAAGTGACATAGGGAAGCTACTGAATGGCTCCTTCTTTTCAAGCTATAGAAAGGTAAATCATTATCGTGTTTAATAACAGCACAAGGATGAAAATAGACATCATTACCTCAATGAGGGGTTCGTCATCAATACGTAAAGGTTTCTTGATAGTTTTCCAGTTCATATTCTCGCTGGTCTTTTCAGTTATCCATTGTTTGATCTCAAAGGCAAATGAGAGTTCGTAATTTTCTTGATATCCCAACGGCAATGATCGGGATGCTCCCGGTGGTATTCAACATGGAGTGCACCGTCCGCCATGACGCGTTTACTGATTTTGGCAATGTAGCCTATCTTGATAGAAGACTTCATAGTAATACGGGCCTTCTTAGGATGCATAACCTCTAGTTGGTTACTGCTACTATTTTGATCATTATCTACGGAAGATAAAACGTTAGTAGTATCAATAATACCTGTATTATTCTTAGCTTTCTTATCGGTATCAGCATGATCACACAAATAGAAGGCGGTGTGACCTGGCAAAGCTTCAATAATTGGCTGCCTGATGAACTGGTGATTGCTTGTGGCGGAATATCGTCGTTTAAATACCCACTTAGAATGCGAGAGCACGTCCTTTTTGAGCCATTTCTCGAACTTATCAGACGTAGTAAAGATGATGGTCTAAACACTTTGCTCATAATCTGGGACAGTAGAACAAACAAAATCAGCAGTAATAGAGATGGAGGTACTTTTAAAGTTGGTAAACATTTCAGTAGACGATGTAAATTTAATAACCATATGAGCTGCTATGAATAAAGAGCCATCTGTTTCTCTCGGGGTGATTTAATTTATTCGCTATGTGAGCTCATACAGCTGAATTGTATTCCTGCATTACTTTCAACCGGTATCTTAGCATTATCAAATTTTATTAAATATAAGCAGCAAAAAAAAAAAAAGGATTACAGCAAATTTTAATATGGTCAGATGGCTTTTCTCAGCAAATGCTAAAGATATTGGTACTTTATACTTCATCTTCGTTATTTTAGCAGTATGATCGGTACTGCCTTTCCTATATTAATTATACTAGAATTAAAAAAGTCAATATCCTGATGGTGATCACCAATTGTATATCTACTTTATTTTACTATGTAATTTATATGGGAAGCTCGTTCAAACAGTCTTCAAATGCTCTAACTGAATGCTGAGAAAAACGATGATGATTTCTGGGAGCATAATCGTATGCCTCAGCGATTTTAGTTTTAAGGCCCTCCGTATCCCCAAACTGGCTACGTCTTACCTTTCCTTTCACGATTGCTCAGAACTGTTCAATAGGATTAAGCCCAAGGGAATACGGAGGAAGGCAGACACAACTATACCTTCTGCTCTCAATCAGTTAGCTGAGCTCACCGTTTTTTCCGGGAATAGGAGAAACATCCATGATCATGTAAAACCTTTGAACTGGGGGGGATTATTTGTCCATTTCACCCATAGTTTTTTTATGAAACTAGTATAATGGCCTATGTTTGTTCCTCCAGGTATTTTTGCTTTTACGACAGTTACCTTTCGTTTTTGAGCACCCACGACTTGAATTCTTTTTGGTGTCAGAGGAACATAAATTTCCATGATAACTATTTCACAGGTTGAAATCGCTCCAAGAATAGTATGGCTGGTTGCTCGTACTGAAGGGCTAGTAACAATGGCTGGAGTTCCTCGAACTGATCTTGCAGTAGATGGTTTCATATTGATGTCAAAGACACTCTCATCAATGAAAATACAATTTTCAGTGTAGTTCATATCAGTTTTTGACCAATTCTCTACCCATTTACGTCTCTCTTTAATTTTCGCGCTTTGATTTATTGCAACCAGGTGACGAGTAATTGCTTTGATGCTCGAGTTGTATTCAGTTGAAATGAATTTTCCCACAACTGTCTCTTTCAACGTAAATTATTCAAAATTTTTAGCGAATTTCTCGACTGCATCGGATACTCGGGCATGGGGGTTTTTATCGAAAAACTCAATGAGTCTTATGTTCGTCCCGAAGCTGACTTTTTTTTCCTATGAAATTTGTTGGTTTGTTTTTCGAACATATCCCAATCAGGATCATCCTTGAGTTTCTTAACTCAATCCTGACAAGTACGAACATCAATCGCAGTTTTTCTAGCTGCTGCTGTAGCGCTTGAAAACTTCAGCTGCAAGTAATACATAAACAATGTTTCTTGACTGCGTAATAATCATCATACTTGCTTTTAGGTGTGGTACTAGTGTTGATAGCCTTCTCTAGCTGATCCATTCTATCAGGAAGCTAGGGGTCTGTTATATCGAGATCTAATTGCTGTTTACCGGAATATTGAATAAAATTACTCAAACTTTCCGTGTTATGGGGATTGCCTTCTTCCCAGTCTATGGCCACGTTTCCATTCTCGAACATAACTTTTCCAGTGATTGAATACATAATAAAAGCTTTTCTAATAAATAAGGGTAAAGGAGAAAAAGGCTTATTTGAAGTAACCGCAAATTGGTCAAGTAAAGGCATGAATCAGTACCGTGAGCACTGTAATATCTTTGTTTACAAATCAAGACGCAACAATAAAAGCTCTTCTTTCTTTCAGAAGGTCTGCAAAAGACAAATACTGTGGATTTAATGCAGTGTCCATAATGACAATGTATTCCGTAACGGCAAGTATAAGGATGATATAATACGTTATCTTTTATTCATTAGTCTTTCTAGTTAAATAAATAAAGTACATAAATAGTTATTTACACACACACAAAAAAAACATATACAGATACTTGAAAATATACATAAAAAGGCAAATACACCCATCATTTTTTTTTCACTCGATTGTTTGTACTTGTCATATCTTTCCATACAAAGCAAGAATGACCATGGATATGTGATTTAGGCTTTCTTCCTCTCTTTTTGCGTGGCATCTGTAAGACCATGTCCATACTTGAACTTGTGAATGCTGCCATCGTACCGCTCATCACATCATCTGTATATTCATTCTTTTCTGGCGTATTCAGTGATTGATCATGATGAGTGACGTCCCAGACGGTAGGTGTGAGAAAGGTCCAGTGCTTGCCATCGGTTGTGCAATGCTTTATGGTTGGTGGTCGACCACGACGACGTTTGAGGATCGCTTGTCCTGATTCAGATAGGACAATTTGTGTAAATGGTGGTAGATCCAATTCTTGTGGTTCTGGAGGCGTCTCCATAGGCTTTTCTTCTACTTCTTCTTCTTTCAATGAATGACTATATCTTGCTGTGGTATTCCAAAGGTAATGTGATGATTTTGTTTTATTTAATTGTTGTTGCTTAAGTGGTCGAGGTGGGTCATCGCCATGGATAGGAGGAAGAGTCTGAATGGGAGATATGGGTGAAGGAGAACGAGTGATGGAGGAAGCATAGGATAGAGGTGATAATAAAGGTGATAAATAACTGGGTGAATGTATTCCGGGTAATAATAAAGGACTGGAAGAAGGTTCGATCACGATCCGAGGCGCTGTCTCTGTCAAGAGTGTAGAAATAGGAGGTAGACTTGTTTGTTGCTTATTCATTTACATAAAAGAAAAAGAAAAGAAAAACATCTTCTCTCTCTTCTTTTTATTAATTTGAATGGAAGCTCGAGAAAAATGTAACCTTTTCTCGTACTTCTCGACTCCAGTCATCGGAAACCCAAAAAAGAAAAAAAATTAGGCATTTTTCCCTTTTTAGGTAATTAAAGGGCTTATTTTTATTTTATTACAAATAGATACTTTTTAATACAATTTTGATCCTCTCCCTCTTTTCCAAATAGGCGCGATCCGGATACCCTGACGACAATTTGAGACATTGACCAATCCCCGCATAGACTTGACAAGCAGCACGAAGCCCCCCTTGACAATAAGGCAAGTCATCAATACCCGCCTCGGCTTGTTTCATCATAAGTTCAGCCTTACTGACAAGCTTGAGACTGATCTGACGCAACCGGCGATCGGACAGTTCACGAGGTTGACCGAGCTGCAGATTTTCTATTTCTTGCTGCGTGAGCCAATTTTGAGGAAGATAACAGCGATGTAGATCTTGACTGTCTGTGACGATATCACGAGCGATATTGATATACTGAAGGACGAGTCCCATCTGACGTGCACGGTGGATGGTATCTGACGAAAGCGAGCATTGACCATGATGAGCAATGATACGAGTACACATCTCGCCTACACTACTGGCCACACAGGCAGAGTAGTAAGCCAGGTCGTCTTCGTCCTTGACACTTCTTCTTTCAAGGTCCCAGCGGTAGCCATCCAAGAGTTCATACACACTCTCTTCCGAGACAATGTATCGCAGATGCGTGGCAAAGGCACGATAGGCAGGAATGCACGTGACGGGTAGCTGGCTATAGTGAGCCTCGGTCAGCTGCTTTTCGGCATACAGAGTCTTGACAAACTGACGGGTTGCTTGTAATTGACGTTCACGACGTTTCCCAGGTACAGACTCGTTGTCACAGAGATCGTCAGTCGCTCGGCAGAACCCATAGAGTACGCTAAGATCTTGACGGACAGCATAGTTAAAGACGGCGGATGCGGTGTGGAATGACTTGGATGCACTTTTCAGGATGCCCCAGGTAATCGAGAGATCGTTAATCACTTGTGGATTGAGCATCTGGTCAGGTACGAGATAGGCCCAGAGAAGCGTCTTGAGCTGGTCTAGTGTGTTGTGACGGTGCTTGTTGAACAGCTGTGTCACCGCTTGGGCTCGATCAATGGTACATGTTGCAAATACCAAGACGGTATTGATGAGCACAAAGAACATGAATTCTTCTAGTGGAAGGTCGGAGGATACAAATTTGCCGGTGCTTGTGCGAAGCGAAATGTGCCATGTACCAGCTGCAATCGCGATCTTGTCAACCCAGCATAAATAGAGTGTGGGTAGTGTGATGGACAGAATGACAGATAGAGGTCGTTGAAGCATGTATTCACCAGAACCATACCACAGGATGGCTAACACAGGACAAACGTACCATAGGATGCATGCACCATAAAATAAGGGTTTAGCTGGAACAGCCAGTTTCTACAATATAGTTCAGTACATGGTTTGTTTGTTTTTTTTTTTTTTAAAAAAAAAAAAGTGTTTATATACCCAGGCTTTGTATGCAATAATCATTAGTGCCATAATCGGTACACCACGTACAGACCATGTTTGTATCAAGGGGGTTTGAGGGCGAATAAAGGTAGAAGGAAGATGCCATCGCATGACTAGATTCGTAAAGGATATTGTCATAAAAGTCATGATGATAAAAAACATGTATTCTTCTAGTGGCACATATCCGATCACAGCTACAACACAAGTAGGGCAATAAGACCAAGCTTTATGATAGACAATATAGTTATCCCAGAGGGAGGCAGTGAAAAAGGCAATACATGCCAGGAACTGATATTTGAATCGATCTTCTTTAGAATCAAAGGGGCGTAACAACCAAAGGAGGATACCAAGAACGGGCAGAGTATAATAAAGATGAACTTCCATATAAGTAAGCATGTTGAATTAAAGAAAAAAGAGAGAGAGAAAAAAAAGTATGCCTTTATATAACTTATAACAAAGGAGAACAAAAAGAATTACATCTCTTCCACTTTTTCTTTTTTATTGTCGTTTCTTTGATATTATTAATGCGTATGCGGCCGGGCAGAACATGAATTAGTCAAGATGCATACATAGTGTTCTATTCGTTGGATGATCATTTCAATTGCATATTTGACCTTAGAACAAAGAAATAAACCTTCTTATCTCCTCTTTTTGCATTTGAGGTGCCACATATCCAAATCTAGATTCCATTTCATTATCTTATATGCAGAAATAATAAAGGGGGGAAGCATATATATTTTTCTTTGACGTTTATATAAATCCTTATCCCCTTCCCGGCTTTTTTCTCTCTTTTTTATACATTTTTTCTATCATGTCAAAACATATTGTCGTCATTGGTGCTGGTATCGGTGGAACTGCTACTGCAGCTCGTCTTGCTCGTGAAGGTTTTCGAGTAACTGTGGTCGAAAAAAACGATTTCTCAGGTGGTCGATGCTCACTCATCCATCATGGCGGATACCGATTTGATCAAGGCCCCTCTTTGTACCTGATGCCCAAGTTATTTGAAGATGCCTTTGCTGACCTTGACGAACGCGTGGAGGATCACCTGGAACTGTTGCGGTGTGAAAACAACTACAAGGTTCACTTTGATGATGGCGAGTCGATTCATCTTACTTCTGATCTGACTCGGATGAAGACCGAAATGGAACGTGTGGAGGGGCCCGAAGGGTTTGGTCGATTTCTTGATTTTTTGAGAGAGACGCATGTACACTATCAGAATGGCACTTGGATCGCGCTCAAAAAGAATTTTGAAAGTATTTGGGATTTGATTCGTCTGGAATATGCTCCTGAGATCCTTAGGTTGCACTTGTTTGACAAGATTTATAGACGTGCGTCGCTCTACTTTAAGACAAAACGAATGCGTATGGCGTTTACCTTTCAAACGATGTATATGGGGTAAGGACATCATTGTATTTATTCATTACTAATCTGTGTGCTGACTAGTATGTCGCCCTATGATGCTCCTGCAGTCTATAGTCTGTTGCAATATACCGAGTTTGCTGAAGGTATCTGGTATCCTCGTGGTGGGTTCAATCAAGTGGTTCAAAAGCTAGAATCCATTGCGACACAAAAGTACCGAGCCACGTTTCGATACAACGCTCCTGTAGCCAAGATCAATACGGACAGTGGTCGTGTATGTGGTGTGACATTGGAAAATGGAGAGGTGATCGAAGCGGATGCAGTGGTATGCAACGCTGATCTTGTCTATGCCTATCACAAACTCCTTCCCCCTTGCTCCTGGACAACAAAGACGCTGGCCTCCAAGAAGTTGACATCCTCTTCCATTTCGTTCTATTGGTCCATGAACAAAAAGATTCCCCAATTCGATGTTCATAATATCTTCTTGGCTGAATCATACAAGGAAAGCTTTGATGAAATTTTTGAACAGTATGGTCTGCCCTCAGAAGCTTCCTTTTATGTCAATGTTCCTTCCCGTGTGGATCCCTCCGCTGCACCTGATGGTAAAGATTCGGTGATTGTGTTGGTGCCTATCGGACACATGAAGAGCCAGACGGGTGAAGGCGAAGACTATGCCGACTTGGTCAATAGGGCACGCGAGATGGTCTTGAGTGTCATCCAGTCTCGTTTAGGCATCAAGGATTTTGCTAGCATGATTGAACATGAAATTGTGAATGATCCCAAGACATGGCAAGCCAAGTTTAATCTCTGGAGAGGATCAATCCTTGGTCTGTCTCATAATGTCTTTCAAGTTCTCTGGTTCCGTCCGAGCACAAGGGATACGACGAACCGATATCGTAATCTGTTTTTTGTTGGTGCCAGGTAATATAAAAGGAAAAAATACTATAAAAATTAAATTAAAAAAATCTCTTACATAGTACGCATCCTGGCACAGGTGTTCCTATCGTTCTTGCTGGCAGTAAGCTCACATCAGATCAGGTCTGTAAACATTTCGGAAAGACGCCCTTGCCTCGAAAACTTGGGTACACTCCACAGCCCAAGGACTATGTCGAAAAGAGTCATGGTGAACCCTCTTGGTTTAGTATCTTTGCTGTCATCGTTTTCCTCTTGTCGTTCTTTTTTGCCTTTTTCCCTGAGCAATCGACAGGACATACCGCCGCTTCGTTCATAAACTCATATCTTCCAAAGCCGTTCCAGGTCGAAGGCGCCTCTTCTTCTTTTTGGATAGTATAAAAATATATAAATATAAATATTATTTCTTTTTTCATGCTTTTTTTACTGTATAACATGATCCATAACTGTTTATAGTTGCCGATCTTATTCAAACATTCTTACTGCTGTATTTTAATGTTATACGATTAAACAGTCTTTTATTTACAATTAAAGTTTCAAGTGGGTGCACAATAATAGTAATGTATCTTCTCCGCCCGAGGCAGATCAAAAAAGAATAAAGAATTGGTAGCTAAAAAGCCCTTATGAAATCAAGGGTAAAAAAGTTATTGAAGAAATGGTGTTGGGCCAAATGAAAGATACACTAGTGAGGAGAAGGAGGGAACTAATTGAGGAGCTTTTGCCCAAGGTGAGGAGGCGAAGAAGACGAACACTTTTGGTGGTGAAGGTAGTCAAGTTCAAAAAGAAGGGTGCAGATAGCTGGCCAACGGAGGGTCCATGGGAGAACGGCTTAAAAAGAGCGTGGTTTCTTCACAGACAGTATATGCAAAAGGAAGGATAATGGATCGGAAATTGTTTCGAGTATAATCAGTCGGCGGTGCATCTGGAGACAGTGAATGGCGCGGGGTGTTGAGAATAGGTTTTGTCATGACCATTGGGAAGCCAACCAAGGCGCCAACGTGTACAGAGGCCTCTCTTAGACCTGATCATAAGTAGTCAAAGGATGAGGCCTAGAGAGATAGCTGGGCGACGGTGCATAAGAAGAATAGAGGCGTGTGTAGATGTCGTGTTTACATAGATCACGCATCTCTTAAAAAGAAGAGCTAATAAATGAGGATACGACCAGAGTATATACGAGGGATGACGGTTGTAAATGTCTGACGTCGTCTATTAGCTAAGAATGAATAAATAGAGAATTAAAAGTAAATGTAGTCAATTAACTTTTCACTGTTTTACAACTATATAAGCACAAATATCGCAGCAGCAAAGCTGTAGAATGTGACCAGGCTTGTGTTGATAAATTTCATAGACAATTGTGGAGCGCCAAGTATGATGCCAGGAAAGGATTATGAACGAATATGGTGGGTTCGTTGTGTGGTTCCCGTCTTCCAATCCTTTGGTAATCAAACAGGCCTTCTCAGCTTTGATTGGTGTGAATGTGAAACGACGCACCATGCTCTTGCCGAAATGGACAGTTTGTTGTGAGAAAAAGGACGACCTCGCTTTGCGGATGGCATGAGCTGTGACACGGGTGGACAAGAGCGACTCATCATAGAGGCATCCATTGGTCAGTATCATGAGGATGTGCGAAAAACTATTGATGACAACGTCAAAAAGGTCAGTAGCATGACTTCCATGATGAAAGCATTTGCGAGCTCACATATGAATGCAAGCATCTCCAGTTTGGCTGCCACCAGAGTCTTTGGGTTGCAAGCTACCAAGACCACCATCGTTTTGCCTGAAGTCAGGACTGATCTGCAAGGGAAGCATCACTACAACGAAGTGCGTACAGTGTTGATCCTGACAAGTTATGATCAACGGAACAAATGGTTGAGAGCCATGGAATTGCTGGCGTACTTATTCATTGGTCTGGAACGGCAGATTCTGAATATCAAGTCATTGGAAGATGAGCAATGCGGTTACATTAATGTTCGGCCTAATGACATGATACGCAATACAATCATATGAATACATTACAATTCTCTTACTGATACCTCCTCGACCCATGCCATTCATTTTTAGTGTTCCTTAATTCAATACAAATTTTAGTCAATAAAAAATTTCAAACTGACTGCTGACTTACTCTTTTTAAGCATGATGAAGATCTACAAGCGACACGTTCAGCTTTCCCATTGAAGTTTTCAGCAACAACGGTAATAGCTTTTTCTTGCCACCCTATAGCAGAGCGCACACCCCATACAAACTAATCGCCTTGCAGCTCCATGATAGATAATGTAACCATTAAGTGCTGTATTCGATAGGTCAGTTATCCTTGTGGTATTCCGGTAAGATTTAAAACGAAAGATTCAATAGGAAAGAATATGGAAAGTTTATTTCTAATCAAATTAGGCCAAGATTTTACTACTGCTAAAAGATCTACTGTACTTATACCAATTGAAATGCTCCTGATTAATAAATTATCCTGACAGGTATTTCCATAATTGAACAAGTTTCCCCTTTATAGGTTCTTTTGTCTGCTCGTTAGAGCTGATTCAAGGACCCATTGGCTCAATCCAATTGATTGTGCAAAAGTTATTACTCCTCCTGCACCTTTCTGTACGTGAGTATTTCTCCAGTTGTACCCAAAAATGAGCAAAATTTTAATTCACGACGATGTTTTCCAAATCAACTTTTTTTTTTCTTTCTTTCTTTCCCTTTTAAATGTAACAATAAAAATATAGTTCTGCGTCAATTGTACAACATTGTATATAAAAATGATTTCTTTTCGCCGTTTTGGTCTTAATCATGTTCGACATTATTCTTCCAAGTCGGTTGAATTGGCTTTTGACAAGTACGGTCAAACTTCTCACTTGGAGCCTATCGTCGTTTGCCATGGTCTGTTTGGATCCAAACAAAATTGGAAATCACTCGCCAAGGCACTTTCTCAACGCACCTCTCGAGAAATTTATACGGTTGACCTTCGTAACCATGGCGACAGTCCTCACCATCACACCCATAACTTTGACAGCATGAGCCAAGACTTGATTGAATTCATTCGTCGTCAAGACCTAAACGAGCCTGTGCTCATGGGTCATTCCATGGGTGGGAAAGCAGTCATGGCCACAGCGCTTCGTGCTCCTTCACTCGTCTCTAAACTGATCGTTGTTGACATGCCTCCTGTTCCTCTCAAGCTCGGCAGAAGTTTTAGAAACTACATCAAAGCGATGCACGATATTGAGCAAGCTCAAGTCAAGAAACAGAGCGAGGCCGATGCGATCCTGGCTAAGGTCGAAAAGGACGTCAGCATCCGTATGTTCTTGCTGACAAATCTTAAGCGAGACGATCAAGGTATTCTGCGCTTCCGTGTTCCCTATGATATCCTCGGTCAGTCGTTGGAAACCATTGGTGATTTTCGTGAGGATTTTTTGCAAGGTAGACACTATGATCGACCCACGTTGTTTATCGCAGGTGGTAAAAGTCCTTATATGACACCGTTCAAAGAGGAAAAGGATAAAGTGGACCAATTGTTTCCTAATTCAACACTAGACATTGTAGACAACGCTGGTCATTGGGGTAAGAGGTTCATATTTTTATTGGTCCACAATTAACACTTTTTTAGTTCATGCTGAAAAACCCGATGCAGTACTAAAGCTCGTTACAGACTTTGTAAATGAATATAGCAAAAAGTATATTTAAACTTTATTAAATAAACACCCGTTCCCGCAGTTCCAAGGATTGCCTAATAAAACCAAACAGTGTTTTAAAACAAGTATCTAAAGTTCCTTATAACAACTTTTTTTTGATACATACAATCTATAAAACCCAACCATTGCTCTCAACAAAGAGAGCCAAGACGCAATTGTACACCAATCAAAACCCCGTTTTCCCTTTCAGTGGACGCATCAGAAGAGAGAACTCCAAATGATAGCTGATAGCGGTGAAATATGAGATATGCCAAAACAGCCATACGCACAAATATAACCCCATCAGAAGAGAGAGCCTTGGTGGAACTGCGGGAGGAAAAAGCAGAAAAAAAAAAAATATACAAAAAAAAAAAAAGGACCATTGGCAGGAATATAGCCTAAGCACATACAATGTTAGCTTGTATGCTCTTGGAAACTTGGTACTTGTCCGAAATCGAAGCAAAGTTGTTGTTGTTGTTCTTGGTGTTAGTATCTTGCCAAGTCGATATGCGTTGTCAGTATCGCGTTGTCAGTATCTTGTTCACAGCAGTGTTGAATACCAGGAATGAAAGTAAAATCTTGATGCTGTGTCAGTATCTTAACCATAACTTTCTTTTAAAAAGAAAAAGGATGAGTGCAAACGAGGGAGGGGGAGCAAGAAATAGAAGGGGATTCTTCTACTTCATAGCTTCATGTATGTTGTATTTGAGTCATGTTCAGACTTATCGTCAACCAAGGTAGAGTTCAACCAAAAGGGAGGTTCAGCCAAAAGATAAGGAGAGACCAACCATGATAAGAAAGGGAAAGAAAGTATGGGGTATAAGTTGTATCGTCTGCTCTCTCTTTTATACTTTTTTCAATGCAAAAAGTGGTTCCATAGCAATCACCAATGAAAATAACCTGATTTATTTCATTTTTGGGTTGCATGAATGATCATGCTTATTTCTTAAAAAGTCATTCAACTATTGGTAACAAAGCATAGAATTAAAGTTAAATGACGGAAAGTTTAAGAAACGAATTATGCAACACGGATAAAGGTTTGACTTGTAGTTGAAATAGAAATTTAAGTAGGGAATAGCACATTTCAGACACTTGTATGAGGACAATCATTTTTAAATACATGTCATCCATGAGACAAAAAGGAAGTAGTCTAAAACAGTATTTATGTTAACGATGACAGCATGTCCACAAGCTGAATATTAAATGATCATGACGAAAGGATGTTTTTTCTTTTTTTTTTTGTTTCATTTTTAAATATGCAGCAAGTAGCAGTGAATTATGCTAAACATAAACTTCTTGGGAAAGCATCTCAACATATCCATCAGAACAAACCATCATTCGAGACAGATCCGGAAGTGCTTAAGGCTATAGAAGAAGCACAAAAGCATCACAAGACACATTGGTGGCAGCTCAACAAAAAGGCTCAAAACTCACCCGAGATTTTGTTGAATCAACGTGATCGACAGGTGCTTCATCAAGTCAAGAAGAGAGCTTGGTATCTTGATAAGGGATGTCACTGCTGCTGCTTCAATATTGGGCTCGATGGTATCGTCGGTTTGATACCAGGTATCGGTGACGTTATCGGAACTGCCTTGGCCTTGCAGCTCGTTCGTACAGCTTGTCAAGCAGATATACCCAATTGGCTTATTGCCAAAATGACTTGGAACGTCATGCTTGATTTTATGGTATAAAAAACATAAAAGACAACGCAACCATATCAACATTTTATATACATATAGATTGGCTTGACTCCTATTGCTGGCGATATATTGGATATCTTGTTTAAATGTAATTGGCGAAATGCAACGCTCCTTGAAGAATACTTGATTCTTCGAAGAATGGATGAGATCCGACTTGAACAAGGTCAACAGGTCGTATTACAGCCAGATCCTTCAAGTTCAACAACGGGTAATACACATGATGTAACAGAGAATGACAAATATGGCACTTTTAAATTCTGGAGGCACTGATCCTACTTCTTTTATTTTTTTATTTTTTTTTTGTTTTTCTAATGACTACGACTATTACTAATTGCGATAATGATAATAAAGAAGAACAAGCACCTAATGCCATACCCTTTACTCATCATATCTTTGACTTTGATCTTCACCCTTCTCAGCCTATTCTTGCTGCAGGCTTAATTAACGGACAAGTGCATTGGTATACCATGTTGTAAATTATACATTCATAGATTGACATACATTATAGTTATCGTTATGGACTTGTATCCAATACTTTACAATGGTCAACTCAAATATCCAAAAAGTCATGTCGAGGCGTTCAGTTTACAAAAGAAGGCAATCGCAAGTATATATATATACATATACATATTTGACTTTTAAAGGAATAACAATCAATATAGATTTAATCAGCATTTCTAGAGATAAATCCATACAGGCGCTTGATGTGTCCACTGGAAGAATACTTTATAAATTAGCCAAAGCGCATAGGTAAGCTTATATTGTCTTTATATAGTCCATAAACTTACTTATTCTCTGTATAGGTACCCTATTAATAAGCTCTGTCAATTAGATAATCAACTTACAGCAACGGGAGACGATGAAGGCATTATTAAAGTAAATGATATAGTTTAAAGTATGTGTGTGTTGACTTTATTAGATTTGGGATATGCGAACATGTAAAGCAGTGCAGGAATATAAAAGACATCAAGACTATATATCAGATATGTCGTTTTGTGATGCCAAGTCGACACTATTAGCCGCAGGG